CTGTGGGTTTTTCATATATGGTCTTTATTATGTTGAGGTACTTGCCCTCTATACCCATTTTGCTGAAAGTTTTTATCATGAATGGATGTTGAATTTTGTTGAATGCTTTTTCAGCGTCTATGGATCAAGTGATTTTTGTCCTTCTTTTTGTTGATGTGGTGGATGATGTTGATGGATTTTCAAATGTTGTACCATCCTTGCATCCCTGGTATGAATCCCACTTGGTCATGGTGTATTATACTCTTGATGTATTTTTGATTTCGGTTTGCTGATATTTTGTTGAGTATTTTTGCATCTATGTTCATCAGGGATATTGGTCTGTAGTTTCCTTTTTTGGTGGGGTCTTTGCCTGGTTTTGGTATTAGGGTGATGCTGGCTTCATAGAATGAGTCTGGAAGTATTCCCTCTTCTCCTCCCAAATCACTTTTATTCCACGTCAGAGCCTCTGACTTCTCAGCCAGCTTCCAAGAGTGGCCAGTGGGGCTCTTCCTGCCCAGGGCACAGAGAGCACTTTCTTACCTTGCTTTTCATTATTTTTCATCCATGATCTCCCTCTTTTCCATACTACAAAGACAACACACAGAGAGAACACACATTTTCAAGATGTTTACCAACAAAAACTAAAGCAGTAATTGTACCAAAATTATGAAGTACTACCTATGTCTAAGCATTGGTAACAAATTGGTGCTAAATCTTGCCCATTCTTCTCCAATCATGTGATTATGGTCCCCTGAGAACTGAGCCTCTCCCAGGTCCATCTCAGACCATGCCAGAGTGGCCATGCTGATGCAGCCTGGGCCTGGCCTCCTTTTCTAAAAGCGGAGAAACTTGGCTGTGGTGATTTAGTGTCTGAGTCTTGCCACAGCCCTTCTTGAGCCATCTGATATCTCAAAACCAGTGTATGGTTCTAGGTGTCACATTTTAATAAGCACACTAACAAATTTGAGAGAACAACCAGGTAGTAAAGGATCTGGAAATCATCGTACACCAAGAATGGCCGGAGAAACGGAAGACATGGGCTAGAGAAGAGAGAACTTGGGAACTTGGGGTGGAGGGCTGTCATAAATGTTCCTGCATTGGAAGAAGGCACAACCAAAGCTGAAGAAGGCATTTGCTATTTTCAATTCTACCCAAGATATTTCTTACACTAACCCAGCTGTATTAAAGTAGTGCACAGTGTTCTAGAAGAGTTAAGTGCCTTGTTATCTAAATTGTTCTAACAGAGATTAGCTTGCCCTCCAGCAGAGATGTTCCAGGTGGGGTTTTTTTGTTGCATGAGAGCTGGCCTCCTAATGCCATATTGCCCATTTCTATGAAGAAGTCAGAGAGAAGGTCCAAAGATTTTTTTTGGTAACTATGATCCTGTTAAACCTTGCTGCCTGCTTAGCTTTAAACATCAGTCAGCTTTCACCTATTATTATTATCCTTTGAAATTCTGACATGCTCTCCAGGAATTTAAAATATTCTTTTCTGCAGGATGACACAGCTTTAACTTTCAAACTTCAAATCTGCTTTGGAAATAAAAGTTTGCTTTTACAACTTTAGAGGTCTCTAGCCACAGGAAAAATGACTTGAACTTTGGAAATTTGCTTTTGAAATTTAGACCTATTGACCAGCATACTGGTGAGCTTGCAAGTCCCTCTGGCATGTGTAAGCAGCCTGTTTAATTTACCTTTGCTCCCTGACAGATGAAGCCTGCCTCCAGTCTAGAGCAGTGGTTCCCAACTCTGGCTGCACATCAGTGTCACCAGGAGCTTTAAAAAAAAAAAAAAGAAGTGCCCAGGACCCCCACCTAGAGCTACTGATTTAAATGGACTGGGACTGGATTCAGACACACATAATTTAAATTCTCTGGATCATTCTAATGTGCAGCCAGAGATGTTCTTAAAAGCTTGAGCTGCCATTTAATCCATGTTCCTCTCAGACGTCATTTCAGATCAAGCCTGCTTACCTGATTCCTAGGGGCTCAAGTGTTATCACAGCCTAAAATACCACTCAGGAATAAGGGGGTGAATCTTCATATCTGCAGTTTTGATTCTCAGTGGACAACATGTCTCGGTCCACTAGAGCCAAGCATGTTGACTGAGTGAGAGTGGGGTAGAGTGAGGGATGCTGTTACCTCTCTGATGACAAAATTGGTGAGTTTATGGTCAAGCTAAACTCTTGTACAGCTGTTTTGAGAATTCCTCTTGGGTGTCCCTTGCCAACACAGCTTCCCTATGCCTGGGCGAACACATTTTTCTCTGAAGTTTCCAAAGTCTCACTCCTTTAACGGCTTTTTGGCATGCTGATTCCTAGCTGTTTATATTCAGGAATAGCCGTCCACTGGGAAAACCACGTCTGTGCTGACGATTGGAACATACCTGCCCACAGGAACTGATGAGCCAATAGGCTCACCCTTTGGCTGGTGCTAGAGCCACACCATCCCCACCCAAAAGTGAGCTCCTTGAAGGCACAGACCTCGTGGGGCTTCCCCGCCCCTGTAACCTCAAAGCCCAGAGTGACATCTGACACAAAGCAGGGCTCAAGAAATGTATTCCATGGATGAGTACATGGATGAATGAATCAAATGACAGAACCCAGACAGACTTCCAGAGACTATCAAGATTCCTTAAAAATAAATAAATAAAATATTCATTTCCAGATGCTGGTTTCCCCAGAGCTTCCAGAAATGCTCAGTTACCAGCAGAAGAAGAATGGACAATTCCACATGTTAACGTAGGGAGGAGCCGGTGGCCCAGACGGAGATGGATCAATCTATTGAAGTCTTGGGTCTCTTCCAAACAACCAGCCTAAATTTTCTGATTGTCAGAATTCCTCAACCTTCATCCCCTTCAGCCCGTGCATTGTGGAAGTCTCCCTCAATAGAGCTGCCTCCCCCAACCCAGAGCTTCCCTGCTGTTAACCACACTAACCAATCCATTCCCCGCCAGGAAGAGCCCCTCTCAAATCCACTTCTGCACCCCAGGTCTCAGGCCCTCCGACCCTTGCATAACTTTCATTTTATCAAGCATAGATCACGCTGCCCTGCCCAACTGGGCGATGCAGCACCGAGTCCTTCTCCTCAGAGAGGGCAGCTTGGAAAGGTTTTTTTTGTACCTCAGAAAAGTAGAACTAGGCTTGCCCAGCCCTGGCGGCATTAGCGCTCACCTGCTGAGGAAGCAACAAATTTGAGTAAAACATGGCCGAGCAGCCACATTCCCCTGGCCCTCGGAGCCCGGGGACACACCCCGCAGAGAACAGAAACCCTTCCTTGGAATAAGGCACGTGAGAGTCAGCGAGAAGGTGCCGCCCTGACCGCCTCCGTCCTGGGCTCCCACGCGGTCCTCCTCGAAGAGGGCCGGGTGCCAAGGGGAACGTGCATACCCGGGGCCTGTGGGTCTCCTGTCGGCCCGACCGCTGACCACGGGGCTTGGCAGGGCCCAGTCGGTCCCTCTGAGCCTCTGTGATAAAGGATTTTCCTTTGAAGGCTCAGTCAGCTTTCTAATGAAAGGTGTTCACTATGTCTCACTGTAGTTATTGCCTCTGTCAACACGCCTGTAGGAACGTCACATCCAGTCCATGTGTTCAATCTCTTGCATTTCTCACATTCTCTGACTGAGATTCAAAATGAGGGATGAGATGCTGGCGACCCGGCCACTGACAGCGGCAGCAGCTCTAGAAAAGTCCCACGATGATGGGTTGCTGAGACTGGGGAGACTGTTCCCCAGGGCCCACACCCCCAGAGATGTGCATCCTCACTGAAGTGGGAAGTAGTCAGTGACTCCATCTGTAACAAAAACCTGTGATTGTCAGCTACAGGTTATGTTCTGAAAAGAGCAGCAGTCATGTTTCTAATCAGGGGGCCATTGTTACTGACAGTAATTACCCCCTTTCTGCTTACCCTGATCTCTGAAATATCCATCCTACACGCGGTGGAAAGGGATGGCTTGCTTAGGAAACTTCCCTCTGTCTGCATGGTCACCACCACCGAGAGGCTCGCTTAACTGGGGTGGCAGGACTGCAGACCCAGGGGCAAGGCGGACGCCATTTAAAGCAGCAGCTAGCTAGCAGCCGCCTGGTGTCACTTTCCCCAACTGCCCCTTAAAATAAATACACACAAACACAGAAGAAGAGTAAAAACTCTAAGTCACCCAGTCAATTAAAAAATATTCATCTGACAAGCACTGAGTAAACAGTCACCACTTTCAAGGAATTTCTGCTCCAGTCACTAAACCAAACTCTGTCTTACTTTGTTGTGTGACAGATTACCCCATAACTTAGGGGCCTAAAACAACATCTATCTTCCCATAGTTCCTGTAGGTCAGAGCCCAGGCATGGCTGGGCTGGGTCCCCGGGCTCTGGTCTCTTCCCGAGCCCTAAGTCATCCCAAGGTTCAGCCCAGGAGGACCCACTTGATTCCTTACTCACGTGGTTGTTGCTGGCATTCAGCTCCTCAACAGCTGTTAGAGTGAGGATCCCATGGTTCCTTGAGGCATCGGCTTCTCCACACAGCATGTCACAGCAGGGCAGTTTTTGGGGTGCTTTGGTAATAAAATGGAATGGAGTAAACCAGGTGACAAGCAGGATCACTTCACAATTCCCCACCAGCTCCCCACTGACTGCTGAGATTCGAGGGGTGTCATGTGTCTTGCCCACCCATTCAATTAGTGTTTGGGGGCTGTGTGTGCCAAGAACTATTGCAGGGACCAGGAACATAGCAGTAACAAAACACATTTCCAACTCTTTGGGAGCTGACATTCAAGTAGAGAGGACAGAGAATGAAAATGTATGGCATATCGTAAGATAAGTGTCATAGAAATAAGTGGCTTTCCCTTCTCCATGATAAGATAAGTGTCATACTGAGTAAGTGAGAGAGAGAAGTGCTAGGAAATGTGTGTGTTTTGGGGTGGGAAGTTGCAGTGTGAGAACAGAGCACAGTACAGGAGGAAGGTGGAGGCCTTGGGGTGTCAGTGTGTTTGGCAGGTTCAAGGAATAGCTGTGAAATCCCAGGAACTGGAGTGAAGTCAGTGAAGCAGAAACTAGGCAGACACAAGGTCATGGGGGTAGTTGGGGAGTGGAAGTAGTTGAGTTCATTGCAGGATAACTGAAGGGTGTCATAAGCCATTTTAAGACCTTGGATTTTCCTCTGAGATGGGACACAATGGGCTGCTTTGGAGAAGGGAGTAACATGAGCTGATGCACAAACACTTGTTGTTAGGTTTGAAAAGAAACTGTCAGTGGGGCAAAGGTGGAAGCCAGGAGACTAGTTGCAAAACTATGGAAAAAATCCAAGCAAAAGTGGCAAGAACGGATTGGATTTTGGGTATATTTTAAAGAAGAACAAATAGGAATTTAATGATTGAACATGGGTTGTGAGAGAAAAGGGGAAATAAGAATGAGTCTAAAGTTTTTGGCCTGAGCAACTGGTCCCATTTATTGAAAAGAGGAACATGTAAGGGGGAGCAAGATTGGGAGGGTTTGGAAATCAATTCTGTGTCAGACATGTTCATTTGAGACACCCATCAGACATCCAGATGGACATACCAAGCAGGCAATCAGATACATGAACCTGGAATCCAGGGGATTGATTCTGGGCTAAAGATAGAAATCTGGACTCATCAGTTTATAGACATTATCTAAAGCCATAAGACTTGATGAATTCACTAGGAAGTTAGGGGAGATGGGAAAGGAAAGAGATCCAAGGACTGACCCCTGGGGCACTCCAAAACCGAGAGGAGGAGGATGGAAAAGCGGTGAAGAATGTGGTTCCTAAGGTAGGAGGAAAATCACGAAAAAATGGGGTCCAGGAAAACAAGTGCAGAAAGTATTCCAAGGTATTGGATCTCCCTTTAGTTAATCTCAGTGTTTTCCAGATGCTAATGTACCTACAAATCACTGTACAAGGTTTGTTCATAATAACTTATCTGCTTATTTTGTGGGCAATTTAAAGGATTTTCAAGTTAATTTTGTCTTGGCTTCATTTCAGCTGTAGGTTGTGACTGAAGAATGTAATAGGGGTAGGATGGGACCCACTGTAGGTCCCGGGGTCCTAGGAGGATTACAGAAAACTGTACAACAGAGGTCATATTTATAGAGGAGTCATGTGTTAGGGATTTATTTCACTGAATTTTCTTATAATGGCAATTTTTTAAACTGTTTATTATAGAGAATAGCAATTAGCAAAATAGTAAAATCAGCAAAATAGTATATATACCTGGTTCAACAGTTATGAACTCATGGCCAATCTTGTTTCTCTGATAGTCCATTCACTACCTCCCATATATTTCATACATCATATCATTTCATCTGTAAATATTTTAGCATGTTTCTCTAAAAATACTTTTTTTCCCATTAACATGATGTTATCACCCCAACAGATAACATAATTTCTTAAAATTACAAGGAATCCAGTCAGTACTCAAATTTTCAGTTGTTTAATAAATTGTTTAACAGTTTATTTGAATCAGAATCTGAATAAGATCCATACTTTAAGAATGGAGATAGATCATTTTTTTTATTAAAGTATCATTGATATACAATCATATTGGTTTCAAATACACAACACAGTGGTTCAAAGTTACCTGTATTATTAAACCCTCACTCTCACTAGGGCAGTTACTATCTGTCAACATTGGAAGATGTTACAGAATCACTGGCTATGTTCTCCATGCTGTTCTACCATCCACATGACCAACTTGTATTATGATTGAGAATTTTTGTGCCCCTTTATCCCCCAATGCCTTCCCCATGGTAACCACAAGTCACTTCTCAGCATCTATGAGTCCACTGCTGTTTTGTTCATTTATTTTGCTTTGTTTTTATGTTCCACAAATAAGTGAAATCATATGGTATTTGTCTTTCTCCACCTGGCTTATTAGCATAATACCCTCTAGATCCATCCATGTTGTTGCAAATGGCAGGATTTTTTTAATGGCTGAATAATATTCCATTGTTTATATGTAAGAATGGGGAATATATCTTTTAAGTCCTTATACATCTCTTGACTATTTCTCACATATATATATATTTTTTTCTTTTTCCTGGCAAATTATTTGTTGAAGGGTGTAGGTAGAATTTCCTACAATCTGGATTTTGATAACTGTGTCCTTGGTGGTGGTGGTGAAATATTTAATATGTTTCTGAATTTCCTGTAAAAGGATAGTTGAGCCTAGAGGTTTGATTAGGTTTATTAGATTTTTTCTGTGGCAAGATGCTATATAGGTGTTGCTGTTTTCTTCCACCAGTAGACCCTTAGTGTCTAGTTAACTTATGTATTTTGTGATGTTGGTAGCTGTTCATGATTAAAGCTTAGGTTCATCATCACTTTGCAAAATGGTTCTAACTCAATCCTTCCTTCTTCATTTATAAACTGCAATATTTCTATAAAGAGAGACTTCCCCACCATCTGTATTTGGTTTCTCAGCTATACAGTTCATACAGGAAAGGTCACAGAAATTCTTGGTTTCTTACCTTTATTTATCAATTTTCAAAATAATGAGTTAGTCTCCAGCATCCTCCCCTCCCAATTTAGGGATGGGGGTGGGGGAGAATTGTGAATGCATGGATTTGATTATTTGATGTGTTTCAATCCATTGTAGCTGTGCTTACTCATGTTCAAGCTATCCACCATTGGACAAGGGAAGCCCCTTCAAGTTGGCTGCATAATCCTCACTTTTGATGCATAATCCTCACTATCTTGCATGACAAGATGTTCAGATTTATCTAGCATATTTCCTACCCTGGCCTGGAATCAGCCACTTCCCTTAGAAGCCCTGGTTTCTTTTAATGGAAAAGGAGTTGAAGTTTTTATATACCATATGGGGTCACAAAATCAAAGAGCCAAGCAGTTAAGTGTTGAAGAAGATGTCACTTTACTCAGTGAGTAAAGCTGTACTAGAGTCTCCTAGAACTCAGAATTTGACTGGGAACCATTCACACCAACCTCCTCTCAAGCTGTTGATCTAAGAAAAGGATGCTATTATCTCCCAAGCAGTAGATAATTGTTTCATTCACTCCAAGTAAGTCAAAAAAGAAAGAAGTGGAGCCCATGAAAAATTGCTACTGAATAAGAGAAAGGATAAATCTCTTCCTCTCTAAAAAATAAGAGGAAGAGACAAATCTCTGAAAATGCAGACTACTGCAGGATACAGAGAGAAAATGTTGGGAAACTGTTCAGCATCCTCAATAGAATGGAAGAAGAAATGTGTTTCATAAAACATGAGCAGACAGCCACAAGATGAAAATAGGCTGAGAGAAGAAAGAACAAAATAAAAAGAAAGGTAGATGCATGAGATAAAGAATTCTAAGGGAAAATAAAAAACACAAGAGCAAAAATATAATCAGACTACACACCTATACATATAATACTGTTATTTTCCCCTAACAATATATGATAAACATCTTTCCATATGTAATTAAATATTTTTTTACCATGATATTCCCTATGACTGAACCACACAGGTAATTTGACATACGAAGGGCCACACTTCATGACCCTTTTCCCCTCATGTTACAAAAGTAAGTATTTTCCAGGTTTTTCTGCATTATGAGCAATGTGAAGAGGACACATCCTTGTTCATCTTTTTGTACATCTTTCCATGTATTCAAGAACTATTTATTGAGCATCTCATGACTGGGCAGAGTGCTAGATGCCAAGATACATGGTGGTGAAAAAGATGGACACAGCTTCCATCTTCACAGACCTTTCAGTCCAACAGGGGAAAGAACAATTAAGTAAGAAATTTCAATACTTTTGTGACAAATGGTAGAGAAAAATGTATGCTGGTAAGGAAATACATAGCCAGGAAGCCTAACCTAGTTTAGATTTTCCTGAGAAAGTGGCATTTAATCTGAGACCTAAAGAATGAGAGGAGGTAAACTAAGAAAAGAATTACAAATAATATTTTAGGGAGAGAGAATAGCATGTGCAAAGGCCTGGATTTGAGAAAAACAAGTCATGCTCAGGATGAAAGAAACTCAATGGCAGTTCATGAAGGACCTTGTTAATAAAGGATGTTAAACATGGGGGTGTCATGATCAAATTTTTGGCTATAGAAGGAGTATTCTGGAGTACAACGGACATTGGATTATAGCCTATGTAGCTTGACTAAAAGTAGGGAGGCCACTTAGGAAGCTGTGCAATAGCACAGGCAAAACAGGGTGTGGGCCACAAGAGGGTGTTGGCAGTAAGGATGTAAAAAAAAAACAAATGGACTTGGAAAATATTTAGGAGAGGTGATTCATTTGATGTGGATGGTAAGGGAGAGGGCATTCAAAGCAGGATCCCAGGTTTCTGACTTTAGCAACCATTTAGTAGCAACTGGAGAAAGAGATGGGAGAAATTATGAGTTTGGTTGGGTAATGTTGAGCTTGAGATTCCGACAAAATTCCTAAATGGAAATATCCAATATGCAGTTGGACACAGACTGCAGTTCTAGATTTGGGATCCATCAGCATATGAGTTGTAATCAAACCTCTGGGAGTGATTGAGTTCTTCCAGAAAGAATATAGAGAGAGGGAGAAAGAAAAGCACAAAACAGATCAAT